GGCAGCAGCAAGTCACGGTGTAGGGTGTGGACTGGTCCATCTTTCCCTCCGGGACAGACTATATATACTGGCATGTCACCTGCTTTACTGAGTACCACATAAATCTCAGATTCCCACTTTGACGCAATTTGACATTTCGCACCAGGACCCGATCACCCGGTTCAAGTGCAGAGGCATTTACATTCCTGTCGAACCGTCTTTTATTCTGATCAGCTACTTTTGATGCATTATGAGTAGCAACTCTGTAGCTTTCCTCTAGTCGACTCTTTAGGGATTTCACGTATTGTGAATGCGACGGAAATGAGGTATTGAAGGAGAGTCCGAAAGCGACATCGACTGGTAGTCGAGGCTGCCTGCCAAACATAAGCTCATAGGGTGAGTACCCCGTTACATCCCTCCTGGTGCAGTTATACGCATGCACCAAGGGTCTGACATAATCTTTCCAATGAGCTTTGTTCTTGTTCTCCAGCGTACCTAGCATCTGCAAAAGGGTTCTATTAAATCGTTCCACCGGGTTCCCTCTAGGATGGTAGGGGGTGGTCCTCACTTTGCGGATGCCAGCGATCCTGCACAATTCTTGGATGGTGCAAGATTCAAAGTCTGGCCCTTGGTCGCTAAGCAGCTTTTCCGGAAAGCCATAATGGACAAAGAAATTATCCCATAGGCATTTAGCAACTGTTTGCGCTTTTTGATTTCAGGTAGGTACTCACACAGCATACTTAGTAAAATGGTCTGTGATGACCAAAATATCCTTGGTGTTACTGCTGTCTGGTTCCAGTTTTAAAAAAATCCATGCAAACCAGTTCTAAAGGTCTTTGGGTCTGAATGTTAACCAAGGGGCGGTTTTCTGGGGGTGAGTCTTCCTACAAATACAGCGCTCGCACTTTTTGATTTTCTCATCCACATCCGCAGCTATTTTCGGCCAGTAAAATCTGGAACGGAGAAGATCGAGGGTTCTCTCCAGACCAAGGTGACCCATATCATCATGAAGACTGGTAAGCACAATTCCTCGAAGGTCTTTTGGCAAGGCCAGTTGGTTCAATGCTTTGTCTCGGTCCATCCTCTTCCTATACAACAATCCATTCTTTAGCTCAAGTCTATTCCATTGTCTCATCCATAGGGTTACTGCAGGTGAGTGGAATTTCAGGTTTGCAGGTTTGTTGTTTGACTCCAGGTAATCAATTACCTCTTTCATTTCAGGGTCTGCTCACTGCCTCCTGATCAGATCCTCTACAGACAGGTGAGGTATCTCGGGAAGACCATGGACACCTTCTCTCTGGATTTCTGGAGGTAAGGCCTTTGCATTCATGCTTAGGGACTCTATTCAAATTAGCGGGAAGGGCTGAGAATCAAGGGACTGACTGACTTGATGTTTTTCACAGATGGCCCCCACTATTTCCGGCAAGATGGTTTTAGACGGTATCCGCCCCCAGCGATACCGTATCCGCCCCCAGCGGATATCTCATCTAGAATTTTTCTGAGCATTACAGTGGGTGGATCGACTCTGTTAACGCACATGTCGATCAATACATCCCATGTATCTGTAGCTCTTCTCATAACGTCCATTTGTTTCTTGAGATTTTTTATACATCTCGTTTGCCCCTCGTAATCTTTCTCAGGATCACACGTGTGCTCGATAGCTGTGAGTATCATTTCGATCATCTGCTCTTTATAACGGGGGATAAACACGATGTCTCTGAAAAAATTCTTCATGCTACACACAGACCCCATGTTGTCGCGGTCACAGTCCGGGGGCAGACACGCTGCTTTGGCAGAGATCCATGGCATCGTAAATTACTTTCTTGTAGGACACGTCCAGCAGCTTTTCCCTGATTTCTTGCAGTTTTGCGACGATGAATGGTTCGTCTCTTAATTCGTGCAGGATAGCGCCGGTAGTTCCTTGAATCCTCAGATTGTTGTTGGTCATTAAACCGCAGCGGCGTAGATTGAAGTCGATAATGCTCTGAAGATCGGGTTTGAACAGTTTGCGGGACAGTTCATCGAAGCGTGAGTCGAAATAGCATGCGGCAGGCTCAAACAGACAGGAATGTTGCAGTTGGCTCGGATGGTCCATTGCACATCCCTCGCACTCCTCCCTCAGTTTGTTGTCTATGATGTGCTGCAGCAGCAGCACAGTCGTGGCTTTTATGATTTTGAACCCGATCCCACTGAAGCACCCATCTGTGGTATCGAACCCTGTGCGGGCAGAGGTAGTGCACAGGTCCTTTAGGTAGCTCAGGTTACGATATCCGAGCTCTGTGCAGAATGTATCCAAGCATTCTTTGCGCAGGTCGGGTGAGCGGTGTTCGTCTGTCGGAATATAATCAATAGCATTATCATTAGGAGCAACGAGGTTGAAAGGAGCGTAATAATTTCGTAAAGAGTCTTCTTGAGACATGTTGGAAATGTGATGCGGGACGGGACTTACTGTTCTTTATAATGGCTGTAGTAAAGGGGCGGGGACGGTAACGCCCCTGAACTTTTGCCGGGGTAACTCTCGGGGTGAAACAGCTGCGTTTTAATTTTGTTGTATCTGTGACGCATATCACACCGCTTTAACATTTTGTTTACGATCGAAAAAATCGCACTCAGCAGATGCAGATCACTCCACTTGAACAAAAATTGGAGGGTGAACATTTCATGATATTCCTTATGCAGATCACCGCCTGAACGACCACTAAGCTTTGTCTCGTCTTTGCAGGCGAATATGAACGTCCGGGTTCTTTTGGGAGTGATCACCGACCACTTGGTACCAGATATTCAGGGCCACCCCGTCCCACTCCACAACGTACAAAGATTCTTCTCCACAATCGTTCAGATCTTTCCAGATACGATTGAAAAATAATTGCCAGTCTTTATCAGGAAATATCAGGCAGGTATCTTGATCCTGTACAAATTCGTTGGTCTCATCAGACGTGTAGAGCGTAACCGTTCGAGACGATTTGTGAAATATGTAGCTCAAATATGCGTCCGCTGATCAGAAAAAAATCGTCTCTCACACAATCCGTATTTTCGTGGAGAAACTTTGTCAAATACAAATTACCGTTGTACGGCTTTCTCTGAGCCAAAGTCAGATTTTCCATCATCTCTTCATCCCATTCCTTCTCAGGAGTTTTAGGTGAGTATAAACCAGACATGTCTATGTGTTTCACAGCTCTTTTCTGATTTTCCACAGAAGCGCCCGGGTCTATTTATCTAAGCACACCTTGGAATGCAACCGGACACGCGGACCCCAGATGGGCAAACCCCCGGATGTGGGAACGGACCATTAAAATCTATAAAAACATTATTATGTTAATTTATCTCCTGTCATCCTCAGTCATGGACAAACATCTGAACAAACATCATATTTCCCCCTCGGAGGTCATAGGTCACATCTGGACATCTAACAGGTCATGGGGTCAACACGACGTGGGTGGTTGTGATGAGGGTAGTCGCGATGCTGGTGGTCGCAATGTGGGTGGGCTGCATCGGGGAGGGGAAAGGTCAAAAGGTAAAAGTCATAAATATTTTTGTCATATGCACATCCCTATTGACTACTGGCCTAAAATAAAAATTACAATTTGTTTTCATTAAAAAAAATATGCGAAATATATCTGACTTAAATAATTAAGCTAACAGATTTAAAACAGAAGTGTGGTGCGGTGCACCATAAACAAGTTCACGGAAAGGATATTATGAAAATGCGCATTTTGCTTGTTTGCTTTATTTTACAAAAGCACAAATCTTCTGTTTTTATTGTGAGTGTGCAAAAATAAAAGTAAACACTTTTGCGGATTATATCTTACTCCAAAAATTTAGTTTTTTATGTTTCAGCTGTTCGATTGCGCCGGCGCCACGCGCACACACACCCCACATACTCTAGCAATTCAAACTTACATTGCAGTTTATTCATTATCAAAATAAAATACAGTCAACCAAACATATAAAAGGTTACACTGGTCAGTTTAAATAGACCGTAGTATACCGGTCCACTCTGCTGTCATGCCAAGGATGTTTATGCTCATGTGAAGAGGATGATCTTTTCCGTCTATATGTGAATGCGTTATTTTACAAAAGCACAAATCTTCTGTTTTTATTGTGAGTGTGCAAAAATAAAAGTAAACACTTTTGCGGATTATATCTTACTCCAAAAATTTAGTTTTTTATGTTTCAGCTGTTCGATTGCGCCGGCGCCACGCGCACACACACCCCACATACTCTAGCAATTCAAACTTACATTGCAGTTTATTCATTATCAAAATAAAATACAGTCAACCAAACATATAAAAGGTTACACTGGTCAGTTTAAATAGACCGTAGTATACCGGTCCACTCTGCTGTCATGCCAAGGATGTTTATGCTCATGTGAAGAGGATGATCTTTTCCGTCTATATGCGAATGTGTGTAAAGTACAAGCCTAGTTTACATTATAAATAGTAGTTTAACATTCAAATACATTGCGAATATGGAAACCTTTGGATTTGTGCTGAATGAGACGTGAGCAATAACCTCCACAAATACATCTAGCCAAACCCGCTCTCGCTCGTCCTCGTATGCATGCACCACGCAGGCATGCACTGTCACTATCTAATGCAGCTGTAAATGCCGGATTTTTAAAAACAAATAGGCCTACCGCAACGCAAAAATTCAAAATCTGACATTTTATTCAATTGGATCAAATTAAGTACTGGTCATAATACTCAGATAAATATTTTTCATGTGAGCAACAATGTGTTTTGCTTCAGCAGCGCCGATGGAAATGGTTCACTGACTGCGCAGCACAGCCACATGTGCCACAGTTACGTTTGGAATAATTTTATTTTAAATGCCATAATGTCAGTTGAAAACATTGCAATTGTGTTTTAAAATACAACAACGAACACCACGAAACCATTTAAAGAGGCGCGTTCAGCGGTCTCCGTGACAGGATAGGAAACAGTCAACAAAGTAAAATGATCTCAAACATACGGCGCGCTCTCATTTTATCAAATGATCATAATCACATCTATTAATTTTACAATCCTGCTACTAGCATTTTATTCAGGCTAAAACCCCTTTAAATCGGGTGAGAAAGCATTTTTTTTTTTTCACCTTTTGCACATCCTGTCATGCCGGTGACTGCGTGCTGCTGCAATAGACGCATTTTGCAGCATTAAGGTTAACGATTAATCAATTAATTTATCGTTAATTTAAACGACGATCGATCATGGAAATGATCGAAAATTGACATCCCTAATTCAAACATTAAAACCCCTTAGAACTTTAACAGTCTGCTGTGGCAAAGTGAAAAAGACATGCATTTATTGATTGGAACTGATGACAGAATTCACATTTTTGGGTGAACTGTCCTATTAAATAATATTGTGTTCTCTTATAAGAAAATGGTGTCAACACTGGAACATTTCACTTGACTATTGACTACAAGTCTATAGCAATTGTTATTAATGACAGCCCTGTCTTTGTATAAGTTTTTTCCCATGTATTTGAAAATGTTTTGAATCTTGACTGTTTCACAGTGAAGTTTATCTTTGTGACCACTATTTGGTGCAACACCAATATTGTACAAGTACCTGTTCAAGTTTTCTTTTTTTTGCCCGTTGCTGTTTAAAACTAAAAAGTGTTCCACAATACAAGCATTTTCAGTGGTGCTTTACACATTGTTAAATTAACTGATGTCATAATATTTTTGTCTTCACCTGTTTAAGGCAAATAAAAGCTACTGAACACACTTTTAAGAATGTTTACATGAGGTAAAAATAAACCATGTTCAATTTGTATATTGTGCTGGATGTATTTGCTACTAAAGATAGGCCTATGCTATAATTTTGTAGAAATTTCTGCATAACGGTTTGTCCGTTTATGGTACAGAAGAAAATGTAAATCTACAGAATTTTCCATTTTAATGTTGAGGGAAATGTCTGTAAATTTAACAGAAAATGTCCTGGTAATTTTCTGCCATTTTTTTTTACGGAATATTTTTACAGTGTATGTACAGATTTGCGCATTATTTACTCTATATACAGCACCATGTTCAATTTGTATATATTGTGCTGGATTTATTTGCTACTAAAGATAGGCCTATGGTATAATTTTTTAGAAATTTCTGCATAAAGGATTGTCCGTTTATGGTACAGAAGAAAATGTAAATCTACAGAATTTTCCATTTTAATGTTGAGGGAAATGTCTGTAAATTTAACAGAAAATGTCCTGGTAATTTTCTGCCATTTTTTTTTACGGAATATTTTTACAGTGTATGTACAGATTTGCGCATTATTTACTCTATATACAGCTATAAATAAAGAGATATGCATATGTATTTACATAATACTTGAGAAAGAGGCAATAATTAAAGATGGAGAAGGAATTACAGAAATGAATTACAGAACACAGTTAATGATTCATGTGTTAGCTGTTTAAGCTGGAGATGGCTTGGGTGGAAAAAACTGTTTTTATGCCTAGATGTTCTAGTGCACAGAGATCTGTAGCGTCTGCCTGAGGGGAGAAGTGCAAACAGGTTGTGTCCAGGGTGAGAGGTTTCTTTGATGATGTTTCCTGCCCGTTTCTTCACTTTTGAGTTGTACAAGTCCTGAAGACTGGGCAGGTGCACACCAATGAACCTTTCTGCTGTCCTAACAGTTCTTTGCAGTCTTCTTAAATCTGATTTGCTGGCTGACCCAAACCAGACCAGAACCGTCTGAATACTTATTGTAAAGTTTTACCAACACATTTATATATATATATATATATATATATATATATATGTGTGTGTGTGTGTGTGTGTGTATATATATATATA